CGGGCGGGGCGCTGGGTCACAGGCGCTGTGTCGCCGGGGCCGTCGCGCCCCCTGGTGAGGTTCGTGGGGAGCGCGCGAGGCCTGGGCTTCAGTCTCCCTCGAATCTGCAAGTTGTGAAAACCGTTCTGCGAACATTAAGTAAGGAGTACGGGGAAGGCGGTGGCGGGAGGTGAATGCACAAAGCACAGTTCCTCCTTCCAGTGCCCATCGCGGGTTGAGAGGCAAGCACCCACCCAATAATGACAGCGCAACCTGTTGGTGGAAATCAGGCTTCGTCAAAGGGAGGTGGGAGTTGCAGGCCGAGGCCACAGTCATTTCTTGGGGGTATCTTCTGGTTGGATGGTGTCACGCCTGAGGCAAAACAAAATCTTTGCGGTGGGTTCTCAGCGCTTTCCACTAATCTGTCAGAGTCACAGACTCCTACCTCCAAACCTGTCCTGCTTCCCCTGCCCAAGGAGAGCTTTCCCAACTAGCTCCCCAAAGGGTTTTTACATTGTGCTCTTGAAGCCTTCTGTGACTTCCCAGGCTACAGGGAGCGGATCTAGCAAAATGGTTCTGTGCAGTATCACCTGGGAACTTTTTTGGAAGTTTAGCTTCAGAGGTCCACTCAATCTGCATTTTAGCAAGATCCTCAGATGGGTCCTATGGCCATTAACATTCTAGAGTCCTTGTTTTCTGACCTGGGAATAACTCTTGGTAGAAAGGAGCAGCAGACACAGAAGCTAAGAATGCTAAACTATAATGCGTACTAGAGCCTCCCATGAGATGAGCAGTTTTTTTTTTAATATATATATTTTTTATTGATTTCACAGAAGAGAGGGAGAGATAGAAACATCAATGATGAAAGAATCACCTATCCGCTGCTGCCCCCTGCACGCCCCCCACTGGGGAGCCAACCCACAACCCGGGCATGGGCCCTTGACAGGCATGTGTCCTTGACCGGAATTAAACCCGGGACCCTTCAGTTCGCAAGCCAATGCTCTCCAGCGGTTCTCAACCTGTGGGTTGCGAACAATGAAAATACATCCTGCATATCAGATATTTACATTACGATTCATAACAGTAGCAAAATTACAGTTATGAAGTAGCAACGAAAATAATTTTATGGTTGGGGGTCACCACAACATGAGGAACTGTATTAAAGGGTCGCGGCATTAGGAAGGTTCACTGTATCCACTGAGCCAAACCGGCGAGAGCGAGATGAGCAGTTCTTGGGAGTGAGGACTGTGACTCAAAAATTTCTCTGTCCTGCCCTAGCTGGTTTGGCTCAGTGGACAGAGCATCAGCCTGAGGACTGAAAGGTTCTGGGTTCGATTCTGGTCAAGGGCACATGCCCGGGTTATAGGCTCAATCCCCAGTAGGAGTTGTGCAGGAGGCAGCCGATCAATTCTCTCTCATCATTGATGTTTCTATGTCTCTCTCCCTCTCCCTTCCTCTATATCAATAAAAATATATTTTTAAAAAATTTCTCTGTCCCCAGAGTATGGTCCTTGGAATTTGCTCATTAACATTTGTTAAATGAATGAACCTATGCCTAAGTCCATGACAGTTATGGCTAATGATCTCTGATATCTGTTTAGCAGTTTATAATTTATTAAATGGCTTCATTTCTATTATTTTGAATGGGAAACAACCACATGAAATAATGAGGACATTCTGCAAGTGAGGAAGCGGAGGCTTAAAGAATTCAATGATTTTTCCCAAGGTCATGTGGCTGTGAGCTGAGGAGCCCCCATTCTGCATTAGACTCCTTGGAGTTAGATGGAATAAGATCAATTTCACTTTTATTCTGAAGTTAGAATGCCTGGTTGTGATATTTTTAGGTCAAATTTCTCAGTGTCTTGTTCTCATGGGGACAATTGTTGTAAAGATTATACAAGCGCTTATAATAAATGCTCAGGAAATGTTAGTTTTCCAACTGTTCCCCCTTTTCCTTCCAGGACGCCTAGCCCTGTGGGCCCTAGGTTCTGGCGGCCGCACTACTCGCTCTCAATGACTTTTCTTCTCCTGGAGGCTTTCCAGCCCATGTGACTGTCTCTGTTTTCCTCGGTGCGATTCACAGTCCTGGGAGGGTTAAATGAGGTACTTTCCTGAACGTGGCTTAATTGGGGCTTTCCAAGCGCTGAGAGAGTGGGGAACTGTATTTGGGAATTCGGAACTGGGAAAAACAGCAGCCCCACAGGAAAAAAAACAAAAACCTCCCAACTAGGGGTTGGCCCTGCGGACGTGTCCGCGCCGTTTTCCCTCCAGCCGCCAGGCGGCGCGCGAGGAAGCGCTAGAAGTCTATTCCCCCACCCACCCCCGCTACCCCGACTGCGCAAGCGTCCTTCTTCTGCGTTATTCTCTTCACTTCCGTTGAGCTTTACTTCGCTGTTTGTCCCAGGCGGCTACCCGTACGCATCCGAATCTAGCCCGGGAACTGAGAGAGCCGCTGCGTCCGCGAGTTTGCCGCTTCCGGACGTCTGCAGGAGCGGCAAGATGTGCTCCCTCGGGTTGTTCCCTCCGCCTCCGCCTAGGGGCCAGGTCACCCTATACGAGCACAATAACGAGCTGGTGACAGGCAACAGCTATGAGAACCCTCCTCCCGACTTCCGGGGCCAGGTGGCCGGGGCGGGGAGGGAGGGACCCACAGGCTTGGGGCGGAGTCGGGGAGAACCGGGGACCCGAGGCTGTGCGGCGGGGGCGGGGTTGGGGTTGCAGTCCCCACATTGGCGCACTGGACGCTGCCTGGTCCGGGCTGGAGAAGGATAGAAGAGCAGGATGTATTTTAGGGCTGGGAATGGAGGATGAGGGGTGCTGAGAAGCTGGGGGGCAGGCCTAGAGAGAGTGCAGAGGATGTGAGGGTGCAGAAGTCCTGAGAAGTTGGGGTCAGTGTCTGGGAGAACTGGTAAAGCACAACTTGGAGAGTTTTGTTTTTCCCTGTGGTGTTCCTGGGAAGGAAAAGGAAGAAAAAAAGGACACTTATTGAGCGTTTACTCTGTAAGGAGGCGGCTCTGAGTTAGGTGTTCACAAATATTATAAGATTTAATAATCACAACCACCCCGTGAAGTTTTATTGTAGTTTTACAGATAAGAGCTAAGAGCTGTTTTCCGGTTTTTCAAGTGTATTTGTGGAAAAGGGAAATGGGTCTCTGGAACCTCTTACCCTTAGTCCAGCCATGGTTCGGAGACGTCAGGGAGTTCAGCAGAAAGAGACAGACTCATTGCCAACCTCTCATTTCTGGGTTATAGTGGATCAATTTTCCTGTCCTAAACCTGTCTAAGGACCCCCTGAAGAACCCTGGGAGGCTGGACCATGGCACAAGAACTGCTTTCATCCATCATCGGGAGCAAGTGTGGAAGAGATGCATCAATATTTGGTGAGACATGGCAAAGGGTCTCCTGGAGATGATGAGGTCACCACCCCTCTGCCTCCGCTGCTAGGCTCTCAGTCCTCATTGTAGAACTCAAGGCTGTGCAACAGTTTTTCCATTTCAGCACCAATGACTTGCCTTGCTTTCTGGTTTGATTATGTGAACCTGCTCCCTACTCAGCAACGTTGGCTCTAAGGTCGCAGCAAATGATCTGGTACCTAGGTCATTCATTTTGCACATGTAGGAGTGGAGCCATACTGCCTGGATTAATTTCCTGGCTGTGCCACTTTTAGCTGTGTGACCTTGGGCAACTTACTTATTCACTCTGCCCCTCAGTTGCTTCATCTGTAAAAT